TAGTAATTCGAATAGGGTTTTGAGGCATATTATACTATAAGTATAATGGGGAACCCCCCAAATGGTACAGGCAATTATTAAGGTCCCTATAGCAGCAGCGCTACCCGCTGCTCCTGGTCACTCTTCTTAGTGGGCCAGGGCCGATCCGACGCAACCATGCGTCCGGGAGTTTGAATGCTTTAAGGGTTGAGGGGTTTAGGGTTTAGGGGTTTAGGGTTCAGGGTTGGGTTTTAAAGCTTAGAAGGATGAGGAGAACACACCTGGACACAAATTTGAAGGCAAGAGCTCAAAGAAACCAGGGATTAGTTTCAGGGGTAGTAGGACCCTAGACCCCGAACCCTGAACAAGTTATGTGGCCTCCTGCTCCTGCGAGCCGCTCTAGACTAGACCCTGAAGCTAACCCCAAAACCCAGACCAAACCACTCAAACTAAACTGAACCCATAAACCTGAACCCAGGCATCAACATATGAAGTACCTGACACCCCGACCCTACACCCAACTCCCAACAAAACTTGTATAGAGACCCCTTAGAAGACACTTTATAGTAACCCCACGTAGTAACCCCATCCGAGGTGCATGGTCTCCTCGATGAGTCCCTGCCCGATCGTGCGGCCACCCTGGCAGGGCTTCTTGGGCAAGACGAGGGGAGCAGGGGTCTGTCAACGAGTTTAGGGTTCAGGGTTTAGGGCTTCTAACGTGTGCGAATATCGTAGGGTTTAGGGCGCAGGGTGGAGGGTTTAGGGAGATCATGAAATATAACAAAAAGTATATGTAACGTAATATAAGGCTTCGATACGCAATCTCGGGTTTGGTACGGGGCCTGGCTTCGATGGTTGTGGTTGTCGGTTTAGGGTTTGAAGGCGTAGGGAAGCAATAGGAAGCAATGAGACTTCAACCTGAACCCTAAACCCTCAACCCCTAAACCCTAAACTCTAAACCCTCAACCCGAATTAGAAGGAAAGTGTGAAGCGGTCTAGGGTTTTGCAGTAGACCCTTAGAAACAAGGGGGCCCGTTTTCTTACTATATTTTGGTTTTAATAAAGGTTACCGGGAAAGAAAAAGGGCAAAAGGGTCCTACTGGGAAACCTAGGATAGGGGCCTTAATAATTAGAATAAGGCTTTTGGGGCTCCTTATTATAGGTATATATAGTATACTATGCCCCCAAGCCGTATTCTAATTATTTAGGCCCTTAGGTTATGTATGGGGTAATGGCGACCTCTGGTTAATGCGGGGTGGGATGCCCCGAACAAAGGAACGTTGTTTGAGGTGACTTATTTTGAACCGAGACTCCTGACACGTATCGATTTAAAATGTCCGGGCGTTTGTTTGGGCCGTATACGTACATTGCAACTTCTGTTTCCCCTGTCGATTGCTGTTTTGCTGACAGGACACACGACTGTGTAGCAGCAGTGGTGCAACAGCAGCAGCAGTAACAGTAACAGCAGTAGCATCGTCTTTGTTGCAAGCTAAGCCTGTCGAGCAATAGTTCGAGGACCTCCTCGTACTGTACGTACCGAGACCCGACGAGAAAGCCGATGCCGTTCATGTATTCAACACAAGCTTTATGCAATAACGAGTTCCGGGACTGCCTATGCTGAAGTCTGGAATCCCGCCCGGCCCCAGCTAAAGATGTCTATGATGGGGGAGGAGGCCTCTCGCATGGCGAAGCGCATGCCCTTCTCGATGGGCGTGCCGGCGATGAGCTCGCAGGTGCAGGTGATGTTGTCGCCAGGCATGGCCATCTGCACCTCGTTGCCATCAGAGCTCACCATGCCCTCGATCTTGCCCGTCACATCACAGGTTCGGAAGTAGAACACGGGCAT